CTGAGCTCCCCGTTAAGGTTAATTCTGGCGTTATTGAACTTATTGAGCCTCTTCTCGAATGTTACGCTGAATTTCTAGTCACATTTTTAAACGTTTTTTTTTTTTAATTAAAAAAACCATTTTTAATCAAATTGATGATATTTGGAAAAAGTTTTCTTAGGTGAAAATCCTGCCACACCTTTTTCTTGTTTTTCTTTAATATCTTCAGAGTTTCCAAAGCTTTTCCGAAGTTAACCAACAATCCAGGACCCAGCAGCTTCTAGACTATTCTGTGACACTTCCCAAGAGGGAGATTTATATCCACGAATATCTGAATATCTCAAAATGGCCGGATGGAGCCAATTTTCAAAAATGCCCGTGAAGAGTTTACACCCTTTGCAAACCTGATGCCATGTCTTAAAGTTTAAAGAGTGAATAAAAGTCAATTTGAGATTAAATACCCCCAAACAATGTTTTTTTCTTCTTCTTTTGATTTTTTAAAATTTCACCTACTGCCCCCCCTTTCCCCTTTGACACCCCTCAGCTTGTTTTCTCTATATGTGTCTGTTTCTGTTTTCTTTATTCATTTTCTTTTTAGATTCCGCCTTTAAGTGAAATCATGTGGTATCCGTCATTTGTGAACTTTTTCGCTGAGCATCCTAGCATAACGCCTTCCAGGTCCATCCGTGTTGATGCAAATGGCAAGATTTCATTCTTCTTTGCTGCCGCGTAATATTCCATTATATACACCACATCCGTTTTATTCATCCGTCCCTCCGTGGACCCCAGGTTGCTTCCATACCTTCGTTATTGTAAGTCATGCTGCAGTGAACATAGGGGTGCAACGGATCTTTTCAAATTAGTGTTCGTGTTGTCTTTGGATCAATGCCCAGCAGCGGAATTGGTGGGTCGTATGGCAGCTCCAGTTGAATTTTTCGAGGAATCTCCATGTCGTTTTCCATAGTGGCTGCAGTAACTTACAAGCCACGAGTTCCCTTTCTTTCGCATCCTCACCAGCACTCGTCCTTTGTCACTTCTTTGATGAAGGCCCAAGTAATGTATTTCTGAGGACAGGTAACAGGTGGCAGGGGCGGAGAACCCATAACTGGCTCGAGCTGGTCTTTAAATAGCCAGCTCAGGACAAGGCTGCGAATTAAAGGGTTGATTTCTGCTAAACTGATATTTTTCCTTATTGCTGCTGTATTTGTTGTTTGTTTTTTAATGCCGATAAGTGAATTTCAGAGAGCCAGCATTTCTTTTCTGTTATAATACGGTTATAACAGAAACACAATAATGTTATAATAAAGATGGAAGTAAAAACTTGAATCTTAATAGCCATCCCTTATAGTTCTCTCAGGAATTGATAAAACCCATTTACTGGATTCTCTTATTAAAATCGGACTTTAAGATTTTGAAATTCTAAGTAGAATTTCCCGTTATAATTTTGATAATCAAATTCTGTTCTGGAGTTGATTTCTTTATACCTGCCTGGGTTTGGGCTCTGGCATGGAACAAGCCTTCAGCGATTCAGCAGGTAGTGGGAGGGAGAGATTTGTAGCTGATATTCACGAGCTCAGACCGAGCAGCATTCGGAATAATTCGAAATGGACTGGCGCTGACAGCACCAGGCTGTCTTACTGCGGTCTCCATGACTTCGTGTCGAGAAATTCCTATTTTGGTTATTTGACCTCTCTGCCAGCTGGTAATGCAGTAATGGAAAAACAATTGTCTTGGTTTTTTTTTTTTCACCAATGTCTTTTGCCAACCAAACTTCCTGGAAGCTGTGCGCGCCCCAAGCGAGTCAGCAAACGCTTGCTCAGATGCAAAGAAGCTCTCCGAATGAACTGTTTGAGGAACAAGCCGTTGCTCAACAGCGGGCGAAAATCCTATTCCTTGCAAAGTTCTTCCATTTCAATACGTGCTGGTGTAAAAATGGAAAGCCTCGGACCCGGTCTCCAGCGGCATCAAACGGCCAACTGTCTGCAGATGATGCAGGTCAGACGCAGAATGACGGGACAAGGAAGGTGTGGGACGCGGCCACCCAACGGGACGGCGTTGGACAGTGGGGACGTGAGACTTCTGGGTTGAATGCGGTAGAAAAATGATCCTACTGCATGAGTGTGTGGGCGTGTACATTAAAAGCAAAGGAAATGATCTGTGAAGTGACTAACGTGAGTCTCTAAGCAGATGGCTGGGTGCACACTGCAGACTTTCCTGTATCTGTACTTCCATCAATACTTGGTAATTGACCACGGGTGTCTAGCTAAATAGAAACCTCTTGGAATCGGCTGTCACTGAGCTGAGCCAGCCCGCCCCGAGGACTGAAGCCAGCCTTGTCCCGTCTGTCCCAGGCTGGCAAGCCGTCTCTCCCCACTTACTGGGGGAGCCGGCTGTCAGGAAACTCGGGAGGTGGGGGCGGTTCCCGGGCCCCCCTTCCTCCTCACAGTCAGGCTGCTCCTGTGGGAGTGGCAGACTTCACGCAAATGTTTTCTCCACCTGGAACGAAGCAACAGCTTTGGCAAGCCTGCCCCAGAACTCAAGGATTTTCTCGAGTCCTGTCGGCTGCCTCTGTTCAGATCCGGAGACCCCAAGAGACCGTCTGACTAGTTGTCTGGGGCGTGTGGAGTGGGGAGGCGTTGAAATCCTTCTACTTTTTCTTGCTACTCTAAGAAGGTTTTGACGTGCACGCTCTGGGTGCTGCCGTTT